GAGGGCAGCAAGGAAAAACAATATAAATAAAACAGTATCCTCCTTCCAGCCTCCAAGAAACCTCAGCATTAAAGGTGATCCTTGCAATCTGTTGCAGAGATTTGTGAAGCCCTGAGTGTTCGAGGAGCAGCCGTGTGTTCACTGCCAGGATTCCCCGACAGGAATGCGATTAGCAAAGCTCTGGTGGTGGAGCTGCTTCTGGAACAGACATTGGTGCATGCAGTCAACTGGAGACAAGCTGAGACCTAAATTCATATTGAGTTAATACCTGTGACACTGATAGAGCACCAGAGAACACAGTTCAGAGGAGGAAGTGAACCAGGAGTATCCCTGGAGTTGGTACAGAAGTACTCCTTAGCTTTGCTTTTGCTGTTTGGCAGCTCTTCCCCGTGAGATTAAGTTTGAGAATAACTTCACTGTTCTGTTTCACTGAAATTCTCAGATAACTGGCAGACAGCAACTGCTTGTTTTCTGAAGCTGTGATGCAGAAAAATGTGTTTGGAATAATTCTTGCCATTTTTTAAAAAAGAGGAAATTGTTAGCCATTCTTTTGCTGAAATATTACTAGACACAAAATGAGTTGTTGAGGCTGATACAAGGAAAGAGGGTGTAAAGACTGAAGTACTGGCAGTGATATTATATAAAGGGAGACACAAATACACTTATTTTGTTGTCAGCTTTGTGTATGTTGAAGCTTTCTGTTTGTATTTTGCTATAAACTTGTGACTTTCTTTTTTAATGTGTGTTCAAGGGAGGGAGTGCTGGATGCTTCAGCAGCAGGAGAATTTTCCTGTTAGTCAGGACTTGAGTGTGGAGCTGTGAAAAGCTCTGGGACTGGGTGATGCAAAGGTGAATAATGTATCTTTGGCCTTCATATGTGGTGGATGTCATGATAGCTGTAGGACTGCAGTGCTTCCAAGGGAATCTCTCCTTCTCCCTGCTGTTTTCTATGTTGCTGATACAAGTGCTTCTGTGGCTTTGCAGTGGGCTGGAGAGTAAGGAATGTGGTTTTAAAACTGAACTTAAAACATAAATCTAGTTTTGTTTCCCCTTCATGTGAACCAAGGAGAGAAGCAGTGGGAACGAATTAATAAATGAAAGGGAGACTGCTGCTTTTGGCAGTGGTGTGGGACCACACTGGTTTAGGGAAGTGAAAATACAGTGTAAGCACAACCTGAATTTTGCTATGTGCAGAGTATGTCTACAGGATTCTACCAAATATGGGATCAGAATGTACTTACAAGGGAACATTTAGTCTGATTTTGCTTCTGCAGCTTTATTGTTTAGTGAGCAAAGATGTGCTGTTTGACTCACTAAAACTATGGAAACAACCAAACTGCAGCATCTCATCTGTTTATAGCCAAATCTGTCATTTGGGATGGTTTCCATCCAAAAATGATGAGGTGTGCTGTATATCTGTTAGTAACAGACAAGAAAAGCAAAGTTAAATTTCTCTTTTTTTTGTCTGGGGGAAATGCTACCAGTGAAAATCAGGAGTTGTTCAGTTTTAGTCTTTTGGGAGGTAGTTTGCATAGGTATGCAGAAGTATGTAAGTTTAAGATGCTTGCATTTTGATAGCATTGCAAAAGAAATCAGCTACATGCAGCACCTTCAATGTCAACTAGTACATACTTTAATTCTAAGGGTGCCTTCCTTGAGTTGAAGTGAAATTTACTGAGGTGCAAGTCAAGATTTAGAGCTGCTGTACCAAGATTTACTCTTTACCACTGTCTAGGCTGGATTTGTTTTTTTAAACAAAACCAAAATAAACATAAACCAAAAAAGCTTGTGTAACAAGCCTTCTGACAAATAGTTCAAAGCTTGTTGCTGATCTCTGAAGTAGACAAGTCCTTGTAGTAGTACAAGTAGTACAAGACTTGTAGAAAGTAGGAACTTGCACAGTGGACTGTGGGAGAGAGCATGTGTGGTCTTGCTCTCCAGACAGCCCTGAATCCAGGCAGAGGAGAAGCTTTCATTACACATCCCAGCCATGGGAAAAGCTTAATTGGAGTTTGCAGCTCAGTGTATACCAAACTCTTCAAGTGTTTGATGTAAATCTGTAGGAAACTGGCTTTGGTAATTATGGTGCCCCTAGCCCATGCCAGCACCACTCCCTTATTTGCAAGGAATAGTGCTATCAACTGAGATAATTATCCCAGGAGGTTTCATGATGCAGCTTGTCCCAGTACTGCTGTCCCTGAGAAGCATTTGGAAAAATACAGGACTGCTCCTTCCACGTGTGGTGGTCTGATGAACATCTGGAGAACTTCCAAAGTGCCCCACAGATCTGTGTGGGGACAGGGATGCTCTCAGAAATGATTGTTTTGTTGCTGTGACATTGATTTTTTTCCTAGCTTGTTTATTAGTTGGAAACAATATTTGTTCCAGGCTTTTTGGTGGGTGGAGAATTCCAGCTGCAGGTTCTTTTGGTGGTACTGAAGAAGCAAAAAGCTGTGTGCTCAGGTGCTGGTCCCTAAGCTGGTCCTGGAGCTTTTGGAGGAGTGCAGAGGAGAAAGGAAATGGCTCCTTGTGGAGTGATTTTGTGAGAAGAAGTGTTTGGTGATGGGGAATTTGTGTCCTCTAGTCTTGTCCCTTCTCCTTACATGATTCCATCTCATTCCGCCCTCATTTTTTTTCCCCTTCTAAAACGTGTGTGTGTCCCTAGGAATTGTCCCAGCTCTTTCTATCATTGTTGGATCAAAATCAGACTTGAAGGTCTATAATTGAAGCTTAGCAAATCATAAAATTATCACTCAGTTCCTCCTGCCCTTTGTGGAAATGAAATGTAGAAATGTGGGCACAAGGAGAACCATCATGAGAATTTATCAGTGCTAATCAGGATGAATGAGTTCAACGTTCACTTTGCTTGTATTTGAATACTTCAAGAGATCTTTTAACCTTGAGCTTCTTTATTTATGTATTTTAAAAGTAATTAAACTCCACAGAGACCTGAAATGGAGTGGACTGCCCCAGTTAAAATTGTGTTCTGAAAATGAGGGGAAAAAAACCCCCCAGACAAGAAAACCCTACTTGCCTGGTTTTAACTTCCAATAGAAGTACTTTAATTCAGAACTATTTAGCAGTTACACAAGTATAAGGAAAAATCAATAATTACAGAATTTAAAGCTAGCAATGTTAATATATAGTACTATATATTAACCTATAATATGTTAATATATAGTACTATATATTAACATATTATATCATTATATATAATTTTATATGTTATATATCTGATTATAATATATATTATATTCCCTATTTTTGAGGGAATTGTTACTTTTTTAGGTTTCCAGATAAAAATACTTGTAGAAAGAATGTTGTCTTCAGCAAGTTAAAGCTTGCTGGCATATCCCTGATAATAGTGTCTTTGAAAGAAAGCATGTGCATATACCCAGGGAAATTAAAGTGGAGAATCAAATAACTCCTGTTTGAAGTGCTGGTATGTAAGCTGCTTGTGGAACATTTTGATGTCTCTTTCTAGAGATTGGCCTCTTGTGATGAGGATCCACAGGCTGCACTTCTCTGGAGTAGAGTTAATAGCAAATTTCCAAGGTGCAAGTAGGCCTGGCATGAAATAATAGTGATTTATTCCTGTTGGTTTTGTGCTGTGTTAGGGAATCTCCTTTAATATTCCAGAAAGACTCAGTAGTTTTCCCTGTGAAAATGGGAGTGAGAGGACAAGTTCAGCTGGAAGTCTCTCAACTTTCTGTGTGGCTTTAGCATCATGTATTAAACATGCATTTTTTAAATGTCTGGGTTTTAAGTTCTAGAGCAGTGAGATTTGAGATAATTTTTATCTTAAATCTAGTCCTGCTTGTGCAGCAGTCTTGCCTTTGGGATTCCTAGAAGGGTAGGAGGCTCTCCAAGTGCATTTTCCTGTCACACAAATAGTTACATATACAGGATGTAATGATAAAAAAAAAATATTCTGTGTTACTGCATTGCTGCCTCTTTCCTTTTCATATTCTTTTTCTGCCTGCTGTGTTAACCTGTAATTATAAAGACTGGAGGAGAGGGATACATGAGATCAGTGTAGAACAGATCTCACCAGTAAGACAGAAGAGATTTATCAGTGGAGTAACATCTGTAGTTTCTTGGGTAAAAGTCTGAAATCTCTGAGGATCAGGCATGGAAGATTCAGTAAAACCCTGAAAGCTCTTCCAGCTGAGAGTTGGCAGGAATGGTGGTAAAAAGCTTTTATCTGACCCAAATCTTGGGGGTGAGGTGACTGTGAATTCCATGCTCATGCACTGCGAAGAAATTTCCAGTTGATCCCTTCCCTGGGGAAGGAGCTCTGTCCCCTTGAGGCTTCAGACTTCTCTGGATAATTAATCCATTGGGTCTGTGTCCTCAGGGAGAGATGAAAGAACTGTCGAGGGCTCCTGTGTTACACCTGATAAAGAAAATCATTAGTGAGTCTTCAGATAGCCACGTAAATTAAAAACACTTGCATCCTCTTAGTAATTAATAGATGAAGCCTTTAGGATTAAAGTTCTGTAAAAAATGGGGGAAATGCAACTAGAAAAGCATTCTGTGTGAGTAGAATTCCTTTCTCAGTTTTACTTGCTCCTAAATGACTTTGATTTTCCTGTTGCCCCTGTTCTTCCTCCAGTCCTGCTTGAGGTGTGGGCAGATAGGTGGTAAGGTAATAAAACATTTTAGCACTCCTCACATTCTGAAATTAAAGTGAAGATGTAGAGTTTGTTCTTTTAAATTCCTTTGATTCTAGAGGTGAAGAAGTGTTTCTGTGGCTGAAAAACTGGCTGTTTCATTTATAGTCAATTCCTTTTAAATGAGAATAAAATTTCAACCATTGGTAGGTAAAGAATGTTTGAATGCTCAATTCAGGAAGCAAAACTTAGCCTGACTATTAGTTTTTTTTATTTTGCCCCATGCATTTGAGGATACCAGAATATTGTGGCCAAATTACCTCTCTCTCCTTTGCTGCTTTCCAAACTGGTGGTGTTCTATGCTAAACTTTTCCCCCTTATTTCCAGGTACAATGGATCCCTTCCAAATGGTGACAAGGGGCGCAGGAAAAGCAGATTTGCCCTTTATAAACGATCTAAAGCAAGTGGAGTTAAACCCAGCACTGTCCATGTCATCTCTACTCCTCAGACATCAAAGGTATGCGACACATATGGCAAATCCTGGTTTTTGATGATCCTGAGTGGAGAGCAGCTTGGGTATTGCTGCTGATTTACCTTGCTGCCAGTTTATTCTGTGCTTGTAGGATGCTTTGGTTTAATGAAGAGGCTGCAGTGGATTTGCTTTCTGGGGTATATAGCTTTAATCCAGTTACCTGTTTAAAATAGGCTGTAAGCTCAGGTATGAGATAATCTGACCTTCCTGCCCCTGTTCAGAAATCTGGCTGTCAGTGCTGACTGTTCTGAGCCATAGAGTACATGGGATAAAAACACAAAAAGTAGTTTAGTTTCTTTCTCACTGGAGTGATCCTTCCTCTTCAGGAAGATAACTGACGTGCTGTAAAAAATGTTCTGATCCCTTTAGGCCTTTCATTTTTCTTCCTAATAATGAAACTGTACAAATTTTTACTTGAAGTTTAGCGTGGGTGAAGGAGGAAATGCAGCAAGGTTAACATATTAACGTAGTAACATATTAATGTATAGAACTGTCCAGGTTAGAATTCTGGTGGTGGAATGTATTTCAGGCTGTAAATGCTCTTCCTGTCTCTCTTCTCAAAGCCTTTTTCTTAAAGCAAGAAATGAGAGTAGAGTTTATGGCAAACTGGAGGAGGAGGAGTTAAGTGGTGGACTCATACAAGAGGGAAATGTACTTCACTGAAATATCTCTTGGGATATTTCAGTGAGAACTTCCACTGTGCTCAGAAATGTGTTGTCTGACTTGAACCAAGAGAAGGATGTTGTTTAATACATAGTATGGCATTGTTTTATTTTCTAATACACAATATATGCCTAAACTTGTCAAAATACATGATGTCAGAGCTTGTTCTCTTTGAACATAGTATAGAGCTTGCCTGAGAAATGTGGAGTCTTTTGGATTAAAAGTTACAGGAAATATTTTACAGTTTTCTTGTTATCAAAATGAAAGCTTTTGTGAGTTAAATCTTCCTGATGAAATCAACCTTCAGAATAGAGCTGTAGTATATGTTGGTAATTCTAGTTTGTTGCTTAAAATATAACAAATGGGGGAAAAAAAGTGTTTTACATAGTGGATGAAAATATACATATGTTCTCACTGGATGATCTTAAGCATTTGGACTGCAGATAGTATTTCAGCATTTGAGTTGCAAAATATTTAAACACCTGGCAGACACCACAAGGAATCTGGTTAATGTTCATCTGTGGTGTTATTGTAGTACAGATAAAATATGTGTGCTGTACAAATTAGTGCCCTTATAAAGATAGCAGAGGGATCTGGGACATTAAAGCCTTTCCTCTGAGCATTTGGACTCGGGTAGATGTGTCAAGTTGAATGTATTTTGCACTTTCTCTGAACCCTTAGAAAAGAGCTTTTGTGTACTTGTGCTGCTGTCTGGGGCAGGGCTGGTGGATGTGTGCCAGAACAGTGGTGCAGTGGCTCTCAGTGAGTGCTCTTCCATGCACAGAAAGGACACTTAACATTTTAAAGATGCTGTCATCAGCTTGTCTCACATCTTAGGCACCAGAGCCTGGATTGTTCTACTGAGAATTGTTTCTATATGTAACTTGTGTAAATGCCTGAAGAAACCTAGGCTAATAAAGAGTGAACTGCTTAATTTTTAGAAAATAATGGGCAACTTGACCTCAAAAGTTTAGTTGTGCTCTCAGTCTTTCAGTCTTGTATTTAAGAAAGATAAACCAGCAGAGACTTGTGCTGCATAGGATGTTAGAAGAGTTTCCTCCCTTTACATTTCATTTTAACTTTTCAGGTACCAATTTTTTGTTTTGTTCTGCTTGTCTGTCACTGTAAACTGAATCTGTGGGTAAAAAGGCAAGTGTAGAGCACTGATGCTTTTTGAGTGGTGGATTTTGCAGAGGAGGGAGAAGCCCTGACTGCCTTCGTTGGTTTTGTCTCTGACAAACAGAGGCTTGAATAAGGTGCACGGCTGGTTTTGTGCTGATTGCATTAATGCAGCAGCTCAAGAACTGTAGATGTCACCAATTTTAAGTTCGTGTGTCAGCCTGAACACTGCAATAGATGGAAAGAGGATGCTTGTCATGTTCCATTGTCCCTGCTGTGCAGGTGTCAAGGACAGCTGGAGTAGCAATGGCTTCAGTAGTAAATTTAGCTGAGCTAATTACATATGAATCACTGCCTTTTGTTTGTTTTCTTCCACTGAGCGCTTGTTTTTTGCCACTTTGCCTTCTGAGGTGCTGAAGAAAATTCAGAAATATTTGGCCTTCTGAGGGTATATGGGTATATTTAGGGGAAAAGCAGTGCATAGGGTAGTAAGTCTCAAGTTTTTTCAGAGTTGCTGTCATTGTTAAAATACAGAGGAATCTCTTCAACATTATGCACTGGACTTTAAAACCCATTTTATTAACTCTGTGCTTAGGCACCATTCAGTACATTTTGTGGTGTCCCCTGTTTGATTTTTTTCCAGCATTGTCAGAATTGGTTTTACTGTAAGAAAGAGCTTAAAACTCTTCTGCTGTCCTAAGCTTGTCTGTGTGGATATGTCTGGGATAGAGGTTTGGGGAATAGGGGACTGTGAGTCTTCATTAACTGAGTAAGGATCTTTATCAAGATTTTAATAATCCACTTTGCTGAATTAGAGTTTTTTTCAAAATCATCCCATCACAGGGGAGGCCATTCCTTGCCTCTTGACCTGGGTCTCATGATGAAGAGGAAGGTTTATCAGTCACAGTAACAGAATTTGTGAAAACCTTCCTCTGACTACCAAACTCACAGGTGTAAATTTGCTGTTGGCTCATCATAGGGTTGGTGGTTTTTATTTTCAAGCTTTTGGAGCTGTTTAACAAAGTCAAGTCAGTTGTAATGTTTATTTCATGTAGTTGAGTTGTGTTAACTGTTGTTTTCATGGACAATATTTAATGCTGTGAAACTTCAGTGTCTGCTGGTGTCTGCAATGATTACAGGGTTTACTTGGGCAGAAATTTTCCAGTAAGTGCTGAACTTCAGGTGAGAGTGGGATAAAAGGTTGTCTTTAGAATAGTCACCTGGAAATGATGGGATGCTGAACTGGATTTCTCTGGGTTTTGGGAGGAATAGGGGAGGCCTTCATAAGAGTTTCTTGCATTTTGAGAGTTTGCAGCATTTTTTTTTTTAGTTGGGGACATTTGTGTCTGACAGGGAAAGAGGCGTCTGACTGAAAATGAAACCGGCTTAATACCATAATATTTGGAATAATATGAAACTGGCTTAGTACCATAACATTTGGAATAATATTTGAGGACAGTATATTTTCTTACAGGTCTTAAACAGGTCAGTAGTATGCTGTGGAAATACAACTGTATGATCCCAAATCCTGCAAAGAGTGGATGGTCCTGTTCCAGTCCACATCCAGTCTCTTGAATGAAGGCTTTCCAGGTTAACACTTTTCCCTGTACAAGCACAGGTGAATCTTCACTCCTCATTGCTCTTCATGACCATCCCTGGCTTCTTGCTGGATGTTGTTAGTTGGGATTCTTTTTGTGGAGCAGTGGCAGAGAACTGCCCCAGTCTCATATGAGAGGGGTGCTGGCAGCTGGCATTAGCACTGAGCTCACTGGTGTTACTGGGAACTCTGATCTTGGAATTCCCCATGACTTTGGCTCTGCAAGCATTTGGATTTCTCTGTTGGCTTTTGGTGCTTCAGAATTATTTCCATGGGCGTGAAGTTTAGAGAAATGAAGAAGGGGCTTCATGTACATTTGAACTACTTGAAGTATGGCGTTAGGAAGCAGGAATTGTTGACAGTAGCACTCCAGGATTCATCTGGAAATGTGACTGAATTTCTTTATTACAGCATGGATGGTAATTGAGACTTTTCCAAAGTATTGAGTCAGTGGGCAAGAGAATGTAACTGCTGAGCATTGGAAGTACTCCTTTTTAACCAGAGACGGTTGGGCTTTCTTAAGTGATTGCATGTGTAATAGTGACTCCAGAAAAGATTCCAAATGCCTTTTGAACTGCTGAAGACTTGAAAAACCTCACATTTAATACCTTTTTATGGTGGTGTGTCTTGGTATTTATTATGTCTGTCTTTCTTAGGATCAAAGTTTTCCTTTGGTAACCTGTGGTAGATAAAGGCAACCTATTTTCTCCCCTATGAAATTACTATTTCAAGCTGACTGAGGAAGATCTCTCTTGACTTCCAAGTCCAGTTACCTGCCAAGTTGGCTTCTGCTTTGTGCTATCACAACAGCAGCTTGGCTAGTCACTGGCTGGGTTCCTGCAGCTCTAATCAAGTTTCCTGCTGCTGCTGGAGAAGAACAAAACACAGCCATACGAATAATTATTAGGTCGGGGAGAGAGCTGCAATTTGTGCTTTGAGTGACGAGAGAAAATGAAAGTATAGGATTCTTGTGATTAGTTATCTACTGTAGCTACTGCATCTGCTTTGACGCACTTTGAATTGGGAGTAAAAAGCCACAAATCCTTTTGGCACTGACAGCTTTTTGGTGCTCATTGTGAATGAGAGCTGTAGAGCTCAGCTGCTGTCGGGAGGATGCTGTGTCTGTCAGTGGCTTCTTTCTTTCCTGTTGGGCTTATTTATGGTCTAATCAGTTCATGGAGCACTAATTTGTTCTGAAGTGACTTAATCACATAGGTGTCTCAAGAGCCCTGGCTTGTGCAGAAGCAGCTTTTTCTTGGCTCATCAGACTGAGTCTGCTTGAATAATAGTTTCCTTGGTGTAATGTCCTTTTCTTCTATTAAATGAGCATCATTTTAATGTGCTAACTCCCTACCCCAGCGCCCTTGCAAATAGCAGGGAATGGTTAGGCAGAAGAAGATGGTTACACCAATTTCACTGGTAGGGCTGAATAAATAACAACCCTTACTCAGTTTGAAACCCTCCCTCCTGAGCTTTTGGGTCCTGTGGAGCAGAATGCATGTCAAAGGTTTTGGAAAATCATTTTATAGTGTTTTCTAACAAAACCCAGATGTTTAGTGAAGGAATAGGAATTAAAAATTGCTGAGGTCTACAGCAATTATTTTTT